ATCAGGTTGAGGTCCAGTGAGTTCCAAGGCCACTCCAGTACTCAAAAATTCTTGCATAGCCTTGTGAAGAGTGGTCGTTTGGCAGCATGACATAATGGCATGTTCAGTTCCTTTTGTGGTTGGTGTTGAATTATTTGATCTGACATTTCTTGAAGGAGGTTGTGGTGGGCTTTCTTCATCTCTGCTATAGATATTTGGCCATTTGTATTATATTTTAGTAACAGTGATGTCACAACACAAAAGGATTGGTAGTTCTGAGACCTTGAAATTGGCAGGTCTCTAAAAATATTAAATGTAACATAAACTAACAATACAAGTAGTACCTAAACTCCATGGGAACAACAGCCGAACAGTGGAATATACAGCTCCTCCCCGACTTACGACCTACTCGACTTACGACCACTCGCACTTACGACCTGCCTCAGTCGTACCAAAATTTTGTCAAATTACGTATTTTCGAGTCCCAACGTCAGTATACAGAGAACATTTTTGTTTGTAATTCACATTAAAATGGCTGGCAAGCTTAAAAGTGAGAGTTTTGTGGTGCTGAGAAGAAAAAGAGACACCCATTTTAGATTTTCTATGTATTTAAGCATTTTTGACTTACGATCTGGATTTGGGTCCCTAACCCCGTCGTAAGTCGGGAGGAGCTGTACTAGGGGGGGAAACATTTCATAAGGACATGCAGAGCCATCATCCAAAATAGCAAATAGGATACTGCAATGACATCGAAAAAATAAAATAAAATAAAATACAGGAATTATTCAGTTATCGGTACTGTATACAGTCAACCCTCGCTTTACGCGGTCCCACTTTACCCTGCCGAACATGGAATGCTCACTTTCCGCGGTGCGTGTACCCCTTTACGAGGAGAGTGCCTGGCGGTCCTCTCGCGCCGCGCCATTTTTGGATCCAAACCTCCCGCCATCCGCCATGTTGTGTAAGCGGCGCGAGTAGGTTGCGCAGTGTATGTCTATGTTGCGTTATCGGTGACGTCATATGACGTAGCGGACTGTGATTGGGCAAAGCATCCTTACCTCCCTCCCTGCTAGCTGTGATTGGTTTAATGTAGTACTATGACGTGCCCCGCCGCGGGAGCGTTCAAGTCCCTTGACCTACCGCGTCAGTTACACCCCTCCCGGCTACACCGTGTATATCGGTATCCGTTGTTCCATAAGAATGGCTTCCACCGGACCACCACCACCACCACCACAAAGAAACCTTGCATTACCTGGACCCAGCCGCCCTAAGCCAAAGAAGACACGACGTTCCTTAAGCTACGAAATAAAATATAAGATCATACAAGAGTTGGAGAAAGGAACAAGACAGGTTGATTTCGCGTGCCAGCATGGTGTTAACGAATCAACTATCAGGACAATTAAGAAGGATGCAGCCAAGATAAAGGAGCACATGAACATCACAAAGTCTACAGGTGCTTCTATGATCAAGTATTTCCACAACCAGGTGCTTCTCAAGACGGAAAAATTACTTGTGAGCTACTTGGTGCTTCAGGCGCGACGGAACCTGGCGGTGGACACGCGCTCAGTTAAGGAGTACGCACGTGAACTGTATGCTGCAGTGTCACGAAAGATGGGAATTACAGAGCCCAAACCCTTTAATTCTTCCTCTGGGTGGTTACAGAGGTTTAAGAAGAGGAACAAGATCACCAATATCAACATTGGTGGTGAAGAAGCTAGTGCTGACCGTATTGCGGCTAGGGAATTTCCTCCGTTTTTACGTGAGATTATGGAGGAAGGACAGTACACTGACGACCAGGTGTTTAACATGGACGAATCTGGTCTTTTTTGGAAAAAGCTACCTTCCAAGACCTTCGTTGTGAAGAATGGCAGCAGGTGTCGGGGCCGGAAGTTGCAGAAGGAGCGCATCACCGTCCTGTTTACCACCAATGCCTACGGTACCTGTAAGCTCAAGTTATCGGTGATCCACACAGCACGCAAGCCGCACGCCTACAAGAGCATTGACATAACCAAGCTAAATGTCCACCGGCTGACCGCACGTAAGGCGTGGATGTTCTCTACACTGTCCCTCTCCTGGTTTGATGACTGTTTCGTTCACGATGTGAAGAAATTCTGTGAGCAACAGAATGTGCCATTCAAGATTTTGTTGCTGCTTGACAATGCACCAGGACACTCGCCCCTACTGTTAGATAATCACCCCAACGTAAAAGTGGTCTTCCTTCCTCCCAACACTACATCTATAATACAGCCCATAGACCAAGAATTGATCTGTAATGTAAAAGCTGCATTCTCTGCTAAAAAATTCAACCTCCTGAACGACTATACCTACACCAAGGAAGAGTTGCGTAACCTGAGTGACACCAACACCAATAGCAAGAGCGAAGATGACGAGGATCAACAGTTGGCAGAGCAAGAAGTACTTTTGAAACAATTCTGGAGAACATTCAACGTCAAGAAAGCTGTGGACTTCTTGGTGGAGGCATGGGATCAGCTGTCTGCAGCAACTGTTCGTCACACATGGAGACATGTGTTGCAAGGCATTCCGGGTGTTAGGCAGAGTAAATCTGTGACTGGTGAGGTTCAGACTGTTGCAGTAGCAGTGGACCTTGCCAGAGAAGCTGCGCAGAGTGTTACAGCTGCAGACTTCTCCGAGACCACCAACGACGACATCCTGGAGGTGATAAGGGATCCTGATGTGACTACCGACGAGATGGTAGATGATGATGACGTCAGTAAAGAGGCAGGTGGTGCGTCATCCCAAGAAGAACGCCGCTTATCCCATAGTAAAGTAAGGGGTGCCATCGAGTGTATCGAGAAAGTCAAGCTCCTCCTTTAATAATAATAATAATAATTAACGGTTTATTGAAAGAGCTTGGCAGCCAGAAGGTTGAAAATATACAGTTACATATTTGGGGAATGGGTTTCGAATTACAAATAATATACAAGTAACATAAGTGATACAAATAAGATATAATAACTAGATGGGGAAAAGCTCAAACTACAGTGCATTTCAGCATAGTGACAGTGCAAGAAGTAGTATTTACTGAGAGTGAATACACTGGTTTATTACAAGTTATTGATAATTTTTACAATGGTTGGGACTGGGCTGTTCTTATAGCGATCAGTTCGTGCACGTATGGGCTGGATGCGGTTGTGGTGTCGAACAGCAATTCTCGGGCAAGGGATCTCAGGTGGTAGTAGGAGCCGGTGTCGAGGATGGTGTAGAAGCTTCTTACCAAATTTGCTGATGAGGTCGTGGTGATGGTCAGTGAGAGTCGAAAGGGTCAGTGTGTTGAGCGCTTCTTGATATGTGGAGTAGGAAGGGGAGAGAATAATCTTGCATGCCCTCTTTTGCACTTTTTCTAGGTGTTTATGTTGTGTGGCATTTAGGGAGGAAGACCAGGTAGGGGAGGCATAGGTGAGCTTGGGAAGTATGAATGTTGTGTAAACACCGAGGAGCTCGGGTGCAGGAACTCCGAGGGACTTGAGTCGGAGGAGGAGGTGGAGACGGAAACTGGAGGATTCGACAACTTCACTGACGTGTGGTTTCCAATTTAGTTTGTTGTCTATGGTGACGCCGAGGAGCTTCGTGGAATCTACAACCTGGATTGTGTTCGGACCTAAAGTAATGGAAGGAGGTGGGACAATGTCGGAGGAGAGGTTGATGTGCATAACCATGGTCTTGGTATGGTTGATGGTGACATGGTTGTTGGTGGCCCAGTTTTGGAGACTGTTCAATAAATCCTGAAGGGCGGTATAGTCGGGAGCAGAATTGTTGACGCTGATCCCAATGGTGGAGTCGTCGACATATTTCCAGCGAGCAGGGGTTTCTCTTAGGGCATCATTGATGAGCATAAGGAAGCAGAGTGGTCCCATCTTGGTGCCTTGGGGGACGCCACAGGTGAGTGACTGAAAGGTGGAGACAGCCCCTCGGAAGCTTGGCGTCGGTCACTGAGGAAGTCTGTAAGCCATGGTATACGACTTTTCTGAAGCCCGAGGTCAATAGCTTTGTTGATGATTATATTGTGGTCGACTAAGTCGAATGCCTTAGTGAAATCAATGGAGGCAACAGCTACAGACGTTTTTCGTTTCTCGAGATGGTGGTATATGTAATCGAGAAAGCTAACAAGACAGTGAGTGGTGGAGGAAGTTTTCGTATTGCCAAATTGCTGAGGGTCTACGACTCCTGCAATATCAGCATAAGCCCAGTCGAACACAAAACTTTCACAGATTAGGCTGGGTATTGGGGTGATTGCAATAGGTCGTAGCTGATTTAAGGATTGTGGGCTGGTTGACTTGGGCACTGGTGATACATAAGAGGTCTTCCAGTCAGCTGGGCATCTGGCTTGACTGAGAGAAGCATTGATGGTGGAGCATAGGGGTTTAGCAAGCTCCGGGGAGAACTCCTTGAAGAGTTTCATTGGTAAGTCAATGGGGGTGGTAGAGCGTTTAAATTTTAGTTTGTCCAGGCGTTTTGCTACTTCAAATTCTTCTACTAAGTCCGACGACCCTGACACAAACAGGTATGAAATGTTCACTACCCAGCTGTTGCAGACTATGGAGCCCTACATCAAGGTTTATCACGACAACATAAACACCAGCCGTCAGCACAGCATAACAGAGTTCTTCGCCCGCAACCCACCACAGCCAGCCCAAGCCAGTGATAGTGACAGAGGCAGAGACAGTGATGATGACTTTGAGGGATTTGTCAGGGAGGCACTAGTAAGTGTGGATGACACCGATGAAGACTCACCTGAGTGCCAGTAGCCTGCCCTCTGCCTCGGAACCAGCCTCCATTCCCCTACGCCGACCCATCTCTTCTACTAACATAAGTGTTAACCCCAACCTTGTTTTTTTCTAACCTAACCTTCAGTTTATTATTCTCTTATTGATTGTTCCCTTCTATATTATGTGTGGGTGAATACCATCATAAAGTTAAGATGTTATTTTTAGTAAAACGTACGTATTGTGTCGGGAAAAAGTGGAGTTTGGGGGTCGGCCCGGTCTCTATTTCAATTAATCCCATATGTTATGTTGTTCACTTTACGCATTTCTCACTTTACGCGGGCCGCCGTGGGTTCAATTAACCGCGTAAAGTGAGGGTTCACTGTACTGTAATGGACATAATTGTTTGGTTTTTTCCTAAACAAGAGAAAAGAAAAGAAAAAAACAGTAAACATTACAATTACCCAAATATTTTGCCATAAAACAAGTTCATAAGATACCCAAACACATTTGCCTCATCTTGGACCTTTCCTAGACGGTACTGTATACTGTAATATATAGCCAAACCGAAAATAACATTACATCTATTACCAACAAAAGTGCCATACAGTACTTACTACCATACTTGGGGACACAAGAGGATGATTCTAGGAATGTAATGCTTGATAAATTTTCAAGTGTGATGAATGACATGAGTCATGAGAGGTCTTTGGGGTTGAAGGTAAACATCAAGTGGGTACAAGGCAGTGTCTTAAAAATATGTAGATTTCCTTCGGAAATGGTAATTTAGACGTTTAACTTCTTTCTTGTTAAACTGTATTTCACAGACTTTTTCTATTCATATATAACAAGTTGAAAAATTATTTGGGTGAAGGTAGGCACCTGAAGGCCTCGCCCGAATGTTCCAATAACAATCGTCCAATTATTTAAAAGTAACATGAATGTTTGGTTTAAAAAAAATTGGATTACGGATCGGAGGGTCACTTTCAGGATACAAATAAGTATCCTCAGTACTTAAAAATTGGTTGATTGTCAGATTCTTCATCACTTTTCATCTGATGAGCATGTTAGTGGCCTTGGAGGTCTTTTTTGGTCTCCCAGGAGATGATTTTTGAGGTGGAACAGAATTAGCAGGAAAACTGTGAACCACACATTTCATTCAGAGGAACTTTTTCATCCAACAGGGCAAGGATGTGAGCCATTCCTTGTTACCCTTGGTGACTGTTCTAAGAGGAAAAATATGGGGTAAAATTTTTTGTTTTATCAGAATGTGGCAGAAACTGATGCAACCACCCCAGAATACAGTAAATGTACATTTAAATATACTGGTCATGCAGGAATCTCATGCACAGAGGTTCAAGACACTAATGAGTTGGCAGACAAAATTTTTTGTACCTACCAGTAATTCAACTCAGCTGGCTGTAATCTGGCTTTAATTTTAGCATAAAAGTGCCTCTTATTGCATAACCTGGATCAACATTTTTTATGGACACTGTACAGTGGATTGTTGCTCATTCATTTTCACATATGGAGGAGTCTCTTTGATGTGTGGACCTATCGCTGAGCACTCCTGTAGGAGACAGTGTCAAGAGGGAGACCTCGCTCCTGCCATTCGTATGCTCTGGGAGGCTCTGAGCTTAGGAGTGATGCAGGAGGCATAGCACCATTGGGGTGTGGGGGACCAGGTGGTGGTGGCCCTGGGGGCAGCATGACGATGGAGCCTGGAGGAAGCACTTGGGTAACTGAGGGAGGACTTTCCAACAGTCTGAGGTGCTGCTGGTAGCGTTTCAATCGCCGTCGGTAGTGATTGTAGAGACAGCAGACAGAGATGGCAGCCACCGTACCCCCAACACCAATGAAGGCAGCAATCACCAGCACCCAAACTTCCACCCAGTCAGCCTGGCGAGACTCTCGACGAGGCACACAACGCTGTGACAGAGATAACCATGTTTGATGCACATCATAGTACAAATACTACAACTACCCTGTAGTACATTACTGTACTCATGAATTTGCTACATAGTTTCTATTTATATATATTTCAACATTACATCTGTACTTAATCATTATGTAAAAGTTGCTTATATAAAGAGCATAAAAATTTTACATTATAACTAGAATTGTTTTATTCTTAAGCATTTGAGCAGTGAGTAAGTTAAATAATATCATGTGACGCTACAATTTATTACAGTACAGTACCGTATACGTAATTACAACATACACAGACAACCTACCTCAACCTTCTTGACAGTGTACCTGTCAAACACCCTCTCCAACTTTGTATTTTGGGAAGCGTCGAGCAATACTTTGGTGTCATGCATGTTGCGGCCCACCAGCTGGAAGCACGACCTACCCACAATACACCAATTAAGACTCAACTACTTATGAGCACTAACCAGTAACCCAATGACATAAAAAAAAATTTGCATTCTGCATGTTGAATTGATATTGATATACAAAAAGTTTATTCAACCAGAAAAATACAGATAGAGTGGATTTAACATAAAAAGTATGACTACGATTTCGATTACCACATCAGACTGCAATTTCTTTAGTCTATGAACGTGTACCCCGGGTGGAGAACCCGTTCACCCTTACCTCATATAGGTATGGCTGACACACGCATTAAATACATGCGGCCATGGAAGTTTGACAAATTTATTTAAAATCGACAAATATACGTGTACCCCGGGTCCGTTATGTAACCCGGGCGGTTGCGCGCCCCAACCGGGGTACATGTACATTTGTCGATCTTTAGATCTTTTAGCCTAATTTTGAGTCATTGACTGGCATCATAGAAATAAACAAAACAAAACAAAAATAGGTGAAGTATACTACATGCTGAATATGTTTTGCTAAATAATTAAGTTGTCTGAGGAAAATGACATCTTGCCATAGCCTACATGAGAAAGTTCATATGAAGTTTAAAAGGAATGTTAATATGAGAGAAATAGCAATAAAACTGATCCATCATGTCAAGTTTCTAACAAGTTACATGAAAAGCTATACAGTGCAGTACTTAATCATCTTGAAGAGATTACAACAAAAAGAGAAGTTTTGTACAACATCTAGCGATGAATCTAGACATTCAGGGATAACACTGTCATCTGTAATAAAACTATTACATTTATTTTAATATTTAGTTTACAGTGATCCCTCAGTTAACGAATTACCTTCCATAAGATTCTTCACTTCAGTTAACGAGCAAACCCTCGGTTAATGAATTCCTTATGAATTTTTCCCAACGTGTTTTCGCCTGCATTTGGCTGCCCACCAGCTGTAGTATTAGTCCGCCAATACAGTAATCGGTTTTAGGGCTAAAATTCCTTACCATTTTAGTAAATATCAAGAAGGTTGTACTATTCAATAATTTTAAAAGTTTTATATTAAATTTTTTAGTCATTTTAACAATTATTGAACATAATTGAAGTACAGGAAACTAGTTATTTGCGCGCCCAACAGCCACTCAACACACCAAGCTTGGCGTCAGTTTGTTTACCAGTTCAGAGGAAGGAACATCTTGTTTGAGACTTCAACATAAATGCTTTTTTCTCTGCTTCCAGTCAAATTATTGGTCATTTCAAAATATATTTTACACATTGATAATATATAGCGCAATGCAGTGTTGATTTAAAGAAAATAATCTTGAATTATACCAAGTGAACTAAAATTTTATGGGTGAAATGGCAGCATGGGGTGACTTCTCTTCCAACCCCACTGCCTTCTCTTCTCCCTTCTCCTCCACCCCCATTCTAATTCCTATCAACATCATCAACCAGGAGCCTTCTACATGCACACGTCAAAGTAAATGTACCTTACTGCATTTATTTTTAGTTAGTATGTAATTTTCGGTGAGCTAGAACCAATTACCCAAAAACCCATTGAAACAATGGTTTCGGTTAACGAATTTTTCGGTTAACGAGCAACCTTCTGGAACGCATTGTGCTCGTTAACCGAGGGACCACTGTAGTTAAATTTCAATGACTAATATTGTGAACTACAGTAAAGTACAATCTTAATCAATCCTTACTTTTCACTGGAACATAAAAAATAATTAGATATGCAAATTTTCAAAATATTATTTGAAAATGGGACTAACACAGTCCTTATTTATTCAAAATTATAATTATTTGATAACCATCATATCCCAAAATTCTTATATTAACCATTATTCCATCACTTTGTCTAAATACCCATAATATTTACAGGAAAAATCACATCAGTCTATTCTTATACAGTACTGTATTAATATCATGTCCCTCTTAAGACCATAGGAGAGGACCAAGGAACACTAATCACCGAACAAGAAAACTTAAAATACTACTTCCCGTGACCTCACCCAGTGCTGGAGAAATCAATGGCACCATCAGCATCAGAGTAGTAAGCAGTATCATAGATGTTGAGGGAGGCGGCAACAGGCAGGACGTTCTCCACATCCTTCCTGAAGGTGCCAAGCTGACGACGAACCTCCCCTGGTGTGATGCCAAACACAAAACGCAACAGATCTGAGTCTCGTAGCACATAAATCTGGAGATGACAAGAAGGATTCTAAAAGGTGAGGTAGGACTGACAAATGATATTGGCTGAAGGCATTACAGCATATTAGATAAACATTATCTTCAATGTTGTCAATGAATATGATTCTAAAATAAAATTTTGTTAAGTAGGCTGAAACAATGTAGAATCTCAACTGTACTTTAAGTAAATATAATTATCAGGTCCACTATAGAATACCAAAAAAATGTATTTAAAAATATGCAAAATGAGTAGACCTCAACCAAAAAAGGTTGAGTGTATGTGTTAAGCAACCAATACTGTAAATAGAATTTTCAAGGAAGTGCTTCCAGTATTTCTTCAGTAACTGCTAACACCTGGGGGTAGGTAAAACATTTAGGGATAATTTTATTCAGCCACCTTCTATATTAAGACAAGTTACCAGAAATACTTTTATCCAGCTTCACCACTCATCGGCTCGTTAGCCGCTTGGGTGATCGGTCACGTCTCTGTTACTTTTCCTTTTCTTTTATCCTCTTCAGCAAATGATCGGCTCGTTAGCCGCTTGGGCGATTGGTCACGTCTCTGTTATGCACTGTTGGCAAGTACTGGGCATGCACCGGCTCCTGAATGTACCTGAACCTGCTCTAGTATTGGTCAAGTCTTGTAGATTGTTCCAAGAGTTCACAACTCTCACTCCGAAAAAGTTTGCCCTCACAGTTTTCTGGAATTGTGGTTTCTTCAATCTTGAGCTGTGACCCCTTGTGGGGCGAGCGTCCGCCAGCTCTAAGTAAGGACACTTGACTGAATAGTGCCCCTTGAGATGCTTATACACCTCAATTAGGTCACCTCTTGCCCGTCTGTAGTATAAGCTAGGCAAGTTCAGGTGCTCCAATCTCTCAGGGTAGCTGAGGTGCCGAAGTGCAGGCACCAGTCTGGTGGCCCTCCTTAGAACATTTTCAACCAACTGACAGTTCCTAGTATATCTCGGGGACCAGGCGGGGTGACAGTACTCCAGATGGGGAAGCACTTCATTCCTAAAGATCGTTACGAGGGACGGACCGTCTAGATATCTGGACGAACCTTCTTATAAGACCCAATAATTTATTTGCCTGATTTACCTTCTTGCAATGGCCCGAGAACTTCAGCTCATTGTCAACATACACACCTAGGTCCTTCTCACATTCAGTCTCAAATAGAGCAGTTTCTTCATCCCGTTGGGACATATGATACGCATCCTTCCCATTGGTACGCCCCAGGTGCATCCTCTTACACTTTGTGACATTGAATCTCAACAGCCATTTCTTCGACCATTCTTGGAGCCCACAGAGGTCCTTCTGCAGCTCTTCACAGTCCACTTGGTTCTTGATTTCCCGAAATAACTTGGCGTCAACAGCAAACATTTGTATGGAGGAGTGTACAACGTCAGGCATGTCATTTATGAAACAAACAAACAACAGCGGGCCCAATACACTGCCTTGTGGTACCCCACTTGTGACAGGTGCGAATGATGATTTCATGCCATTAATTACCACACACACTGCTGTCGGTCATGTAGAAAGTCTTCTATCCACGCTAGGACATTTTCCCGGATTCCGTACCCGTCCAGTTTGATTTTCAGCCTTTCGTGGGGTACACTGTCCAAAGCCTTGGCAATATCTTTGTAAATATTGCTGATATTACCACCCTGTTCCAGAATTTGGGCCCAAATATCCAATACCTTGAGCAATTGTGTTAAGCAGGAGCGTCCCGGCATAAAACCGTGTTGGCAATCCTTTGCAAGGTTGTTTTGAAGTAGATGTTCCATCGCGGCATCTCTGATAATACTCTCAAGTACTTTACATATTATGCTGGTCAGGGTCACCGGTTGTTCATGGAGTGACGATCGCCTTTCTTGAAGATAGGACTCACATAAGCCACTTTCCATTCACTGGGGACCATTTGTTCATCCAGACATTTACAAAACAGGATCTTCAGGGGCTCGGCAAGCTCGTTGCACAACTCTCTTAGCACTCTGGGATGCACCATGTCAGGGCTGGAACTCTTATGAACCTTTAGCTTTGACAGTTTATTTCTAATACCCTCTTCTGTGAACACAATGTGGGTCAGTGCTGTGTCGAACTGTCTGTCCTTAAACGCAGGAAGGTTAATCGCATCCTCTCTTGTGAACACCGAGGAAAAGAAGCTGTTCAATGCCTCAGCTTTATCCTAGTCAGAATCTGCGTAACTACCATCTTCAAGCCTCAGGTTTGATACTCCTACTCGCGTTTTTAATTTCGACTTTGCGTAGCGGCAAAACACCTTTGGGTTTAACTTGACCTCGCTTGCAACCAGCCTCTGGAACTCCTTTTCAGCTCTTCTACACTCTGACTTTGCTTGGTTCCTGGCTCGAGCATACATCCTCCTGTCCTGCTCATCGTTTGACCCAACCCACGTCTTGAATTTCTGGATTTTCTTCTTAACTCTGTCGACCGCCGCATGGTTCATGTGTAGGGATCCTTTCGTATTCCTAGAGGCACTGGGTTTGGTCTTGGGTATATATTTATCGATCAAATGGGTCACTTTACTAGTTATGATATTCAGCATAGTGTCTGCGTTCTTATCCCTTAATGAGTCAGGCCAGTTGATACCCCTCATCCCATTGTAATTTCCCTTGTAATATTTGCACCTTGGCCTGGCCTTATCTTGAACTAGGTAACAGTTAAATCTGAATGACAACACTATATGGTGACTGGTGCCAACTGGAGCAAGGTGTTCCAGTTGACCACCATACCCTCCTCGTTTGTTATGATGAGGTCTAGTGGCTTGGGTGTTTGCTCCCCTCTGTAATGTGTAGGGGTCTCGAACATGTGGGAACAGAAAATTATCTCTCAGAGTTTGTAGGTTGTGTATCTATGCTACTGTGCCGAGTAGCAACCTTGTAAATAAGCTACTGTGCCGAGTAGCATTTATATATGTAATTACATGGCAACACTGCACGTGTTACGTGGCAACATTGCCCCGAGGCTGCCATATGGCAAGGCAGTCTCAGTCTGACTCTGTGGGTCGTGCAAGGCACACGCTAGTCACCACTTGTATTTCTCCTTTCCGTTAATAAATGGACTTCAGTGTTACCCGGTGTTTCCCTACCCATCACTGCCTTCTTCAGGGAAGACTTGGAACCTTCATGGCGCAATGAGTAGGATTTGCGGACTTACAAGTGTGTGAACAATGGACAGTTAGCTGGCGATGTGCGTGTCGACTCTGTTGTGTTGTGTTGCATTGTGTTTCCCCGCGACGTGCAGTGTTGCGCCGTCACAGTGCGTTTTAGTGACGGTGGCAGTATTAGTGTCAGTGTATTAGTGTGTTTAGAGCTGAGAGTTGAGCATTGGCCTCTTTTTGTGGTACCCACGGAGTACGCAGGCGTACACCCTTCTCGTGTGACATCCAGGGAGACACTAACGTTCTCGCCTCCGCAGCGGCTCCAGCCACCAAGGCCACCCGCATCTGCTGTCTCAGACACACACACACACGCACGCACACTGTTTATGTCATATATATGTGGTTCGAGCTGATGAGGCACCACTTTATATACTAAACAGCGCAGTTCAAGCATACTAAGATGGGCGGTATGAAGGGACAACGTCAAGATGAGAGACACGACTGTAATAGGCCCCTGTCTCATCAACAGAACATATTATATAAATGGGTCAATACATCTGAGATTATATTCAGATTCACCCCCTGTAACTTTCCACTGTCTATGAGTAAGACATGAGTTGAACACGTGAGCGGGCAACTCTCCCAAGAGGGCGAGACCCATAGCTCAGCATTTCTGTAAACCCGCACTGCGAGGTCGTCACAGTCAGTAGCTCACCTCAACTTATATCGTAAGGACGTGACCTAACGTTTATTATACATAAACGCCGTCCCTTTCTCATTCACTCCTAGACAGTGAGACTTACGGTTGATCTACACTCAGGAATTATATACAACCTTTTATAATAAAACAAAGGAACTACCGTTTGGGTTTCGTTACTTAAAACCCAAATATAAATATATGTGAACGGACTGGTTAATTGGACAAGCAGCCGATTCACGACTCCCCTCCACCATCCCCTCCACCGGGTGCAGACTCTCATCCTTCACCTCCAGCGACAGACATTGCCACAATTCTGAGGTGGATGGACGACAGGGACAAGAGACGCAGAGAGATGGAATTTCAGAGGGAGGAGATACGAAGAGAGGAGGAAAAGGCGCATTTTGAGGCACTATTGGTGACCCTGGAGCTAACCCACCCTCCCTCACTTGCAGGTATCGCGCACCAGGGCGCCAGTACCCTCCCTCCTCCACCACACCAGCGTCCTCCAGGCACTCTTGCTACTCCAACAGCTCCCAAGGCATCTGTTCAACCCCCACCCGCCCTCTCACCAGACGTCACGTTTCAGCTTTTTCGTGAGTGGAGGCGGCGGTGGATAGATTACTCCACGATGGTGGACCTTGATAGCATGCCTCCAAACAAACAGCTCATCCAACTGCGGATGTGTTTGTCGTTGGAGACCGGAGACCCAGAGAGTTTTGGAGCACACGTTGCAAGTGCCTCCCAATTCTGTCTTCAGTGACGGATGTGCTCGACCTTTTACAGGAGCACGTTAAAGGTCGGAATAACAAGGCTTTGCGTCGCCGTGCCTTCACCAGCTGCAAGGCGGAGAATGAATCCTTTGACGACTTTTTTGTACGTTTGAAGAGTTTGTCGGAGGAGATCGACGTCTGCAAGGCGCACAGCCAGGAATGTGAGGAAGCCTGGATCAAGCACGGGATTTTGACAGGTGTCAGGCAAGAAGAGTTGGTGCAGCGACTCATTCCCCTGGACGCTTCCTCCACACTCCAGGTGGTAGTGACTGAATGTCGGTCGTACGAGGCCACCAAGTCCGCCACCTCTGCCTTACGGGCCCCACCTGCTGTGAGAGCTATCTCACAGTTCGAGAAGGGTAAGAAGGCAGCCAACAACGTGAAGGCTGCCGCACGTTCTTCCACGCTTCCGCTTAGTGCTTCCTGTGGCAGCTGTGGAAAGCAGCACAGCCCCAAGAAATGCCCGGCCACCGACGCACTGTGTCGTGGATGTGACCGTAAGGGCCACTGGTCTAACACAGACAGGTGCCGTGCACGAGGCCACAAGTGTCAGGCCTGCGGTCGCTATGGACACTACGACAAGTGCTGCCGCCAACCCAAGCCCAAAAGCCCGAGATGAGGAGGAAAGCAGCGCACTTCCCTCGGGGTGGTTCGCATGCAGCCCCCTTCAAATGGCCCACGCAGCCCCAAGCAGCAGCTGAGTCACATCAGGAGGGTGAAATCGACCACACGCCCCAGGGCTACCCCTTCCCCTACCATCCGCGTCGCCGTCACACACGGTGATGTGTCAGGTCACATCGAGGTGATACCGGACACCGGCCTGAAGCACCTCCAGAAACTGGGCCTCACCAAACGCGACCTGGGACCACCGCTGCAGCTGCAGTACTACAATGCGGACGGTTCCCAGATGCCAGACGCTGTGGGCTCCTTTCAAGCGGAGATTACCTATGGCGACAGGTCGTGTCACGGATGGATGGACATGCAGCCTTCTCTTGCTATACCTTTGTTGTCGTGGGAGCACTGCAAGGAGTTAGGCGTGGTGCACAGAGACTTTCCTGAGCAGATCCCAGCTGCTCGGTACACCGCCAGCAGGGTGCGTGAGTCAACGAGCGACGCGCCTGGCGCTGCCACACAGAGCTGCCCAGAACCCGCGTCCACTCCCGCCCCGCCTCCACCCAAGTCATGGCTGCTTCCTCTTCACAGCGAGACGTCTCCTTCAGCCGCAAGGGCCTACTTCCTGAAAGAGTACTCGGATGTGCTGGTGACGAAGGAGGCCCTACGCCGCGCCACTGAAGGCTATGGCGGGTCCACCTATGAGGTTACACCTGCGGGAAGATGCGCAGCCGTTTGCCATACACACTCCCCGGTTGATCCCTCTCACCTTCAGGGATTCAGTCAAGAAGGAACTGGATTCCATGGTGGCCCAGAGTGTCATCGTACCCATTGGTGACGACCCGTCCCCTTGGTGCCACCCTCTAGTCGCTGTGGCTAAGACTAACGGTGGAGTGCGGATTACTACCGACTTGTCTAAACTTAACAGCCAGGTGTCCCGTCCCGCCCACCCTTCACCCACACCTTTTGCAGCTATACGGAGTGTGGACCCGAGGGTACGGCACTTCTCGACAATGGACGCCCTCTGCGGTTACTGGCAGATCCCACTGAAGAAGGAGAATCAGCCACTGACCACTTTCATCACGCCTTACGGACGCTTCCGCTACTGCCGTAGCCCTATGGGATTCGCTGCTACGGGGGACGCCTTCTGTCTCTGTGGTGACATGGCACTTCAAGGCGTGACCAACTGCGTGAAGGTAGTGGATGACGTCCTCCTCTACGATGAGGACTACCTGACGCATCTTCGCCTCATCGACGAGCTACTGACCAGGTGTAGGACGCACGGCATCACTCTGAATGCCGAGAAGTTTGTCTTGGCCGCACCTGCAGTGTCTTTGTGCGGCTTCCGACTCTCAAGGGATGGCATTGCTGCGGACCCGGAGAAAGTTCGCGCCATAGCGGACTTTGCCAAACCTGCCAACCTTACGGATCTCAGGTCTTTCATGGACCTGGTGAACCAGCTGGCAGAATTTTCTCCTGACGTCTCCGCCGCTGCCGGGCCTCTCTGCCCCCTGATGAGCCCCAAGAGGACTTTCACGTGGACCCCTGACCACGACCTCGCCTTTCATAAGGTGAAGGAGACCCTGTCAAGTCCACCTATCCTCACTACTTTCGACCCAGCGCTCCCCACCGTCCTCCAGACAGATGCCTCGCGCCTGTACGGGGTTGGTTACGCCCTTCTCCAGGATCACGGTGGAGGAAAGTACCGGCTCATACAGTGTGGCTCTCGCTTCCTCACCGATGCTGAGTCTCGCTACGCTACCATCGAGCTGGAGCTGCTGGCAGTGGTATGGGCCTTATCGAAGTGCAAATTTTACTTGATTGGCCTACAGCACTTCGACCTCATCACAGACCACAGGCCCTTGGTCCCCATTCTTAACCACTATTCGCTGGACGCCATCGAGAATCCCCGCCTCCAGCGCCTGAAGGAGAAGATTTTGGCCTTCGTCTTCACCGCAGCTTGGCGTGCAGGTAAGGAGTTGTGCATCCCGGATGCCCTCTCCCGCTCCCCAGTCAGCCGCCCGACACCTGAAGACGAGATGCTCAGCACCGAGGCCGGTTTCTCCGTCAGCAACATCGTCACTTTGCAGGCCGTACAGTACCTCGCCAGCACCCAGGCCTCAGTGTCGCCACCCGACAGTGATCTGGCCCTTGAGGAACTACGGACCGCGGCACGCGACGACCCCTCCTACACTCAGGACTGGGTTCCCTCACGACCGTTTTGACCTCCACAACGCCCTACGCCTGTATTGGAAGATACGTGAGGACCTCTATGCAGATGGAGACCTCGTCCTGTACGGTGCCCGTGTGGTCGTCCCTGCAGCTCTCCGTCGTCGCGTTCTGGCTGGCTTACACAACAGCCATCGTGGAGCAGAGGCCACCAAGTGCCGCGCAAGGCAGGCTGTGTACTGGCCCGGCATTGACGCGGATATCGTCAATACAGTCTGTGCCTATGAGCCTTGCCAGATCATGAAGCCCAGTCAACAGCAGGAGTCCCTCTTGTGCGACGACGAACCCACCAGGCCCTTCGAGTCCGTGTCGGCTGATTTCTTCAGCACAGCTGGGAAACATTTCCTAGTCGTTGCCGACCGACTCTCTGGCTGGCCTGTGGTGGTTATCTGTGGCTCAGACACGACGTCCACGGCCACCATTCGCCACTTCCGGCACCTCTTTCGTGACCTGGGCGTCCCCGTACGTCTGCGGACGGACGGTGGGCCACAGTTCACCAGCCGGGACTTCACAGGATTCCTGGAGCGTTGGGGAGTCCGCCACATCGTGTCAACACCCCACTACCCACAGTCAAACGGCCACGCTGAGGCTGCGGTCAAGACAGTCAAGCACCTCATCCTCAAGGTGGCCCCTTCAGGCAACATAGACTGTGAGGCGTTTGACAAAGGACTCCTGGAGTTACGTAATACTCCCACCCACACAGGACGCTCCCCTGCCCAGATCCTGTATGGTCACCCTCTACGCTCTTGCGTTCCTGCACACGCCAAGGCCTTTGCGAAGGAGTGGCAGACCAGAGCCGAGAGCTGCGAACCGCCGCTTCCTCCGGCCAGTCCCACCCCCTGCTGCTGGCCCCCTGACCGAGGACGAGTCCCCTTCACCTCACAAGCGCGCCCCACAGTGCACCTCGACGCTCGGAGCGACTTAGGACTAAGAAGTCCGCTCAAGACAAAGACTATGAGCGTGAGGGGGGGAGGGAGATGTAGGTTATGTATATAAGCTACTGTGCCGAGTAGCATTTGTATATGTAATTACGTGGCAACACTGCACGTGTTATGTGGCAACATTGCCCCGAGGCTGCCATATGGCAAGGCAGTCTCAGTCTGACTCTGTGGGTCGTGCAAGGCACACGCTAGTCACCACTTGTATTTCTCCTATCCGTTAATAAATGGACTTCAGTGTTACCTGGTGTTTCCCTACCCATCACTGCCTTCTTCAGGGAACACTTGGAACCTTCAGAGTTTCTACAAAAAGAGTAGCAGGGTTATTCAAGTCATTTGGGGTGAACTTGTTTCTCCAGTCGATGTCGCCATAGTTAAAGTCCTCCATGATAAGGAGGTGGTTAGGGTTGAGCATCGCCGCATTGTCTATTAAGGCTCTTTAAGTTCCTCTGATTTAGTGAGCCACAGTTTGGGGATCTGTAGATACACCCGACGTTAAGTAAGTCCCCTCCCTTTAATTTAATTTTACACCACTTTGATTCTTCAAAAACATCCTCTCCCTGTACCCTCGCCTGGCTGGCTCTAAGGTCTTGCCTAGCATAGATAACCACACCCCTCTTGCAAGTTTCTTGAGAAAGGTTCGTAAATGAGTCATATCCAGCAATACTGAACTCACATTCCTCTGGGTCGATTCTCCTGTTCTTGTACAACAGTTCTACAACACCTACAATATCTGGTTGGTGTACTCTTAGTAGTGTTTCAAACTCCTCTCTCTTATCAAGGAACGTGTCAGTATTAGTGTACATGACATTCAAGCCAGAATTTGTTCTCGGTAACGTCTCTGCTCTTAGTAGTAAACCCCCCCCATTCTCAGAAGCTGCAGCATTTGCTAAGTACACTGTATTTTGCAGGGTGTGGTTAGAAATGTCATTGTTTACACGGCGCTCGCCTCTTCCTGTCTGGTAGGCGGAGCTGGTGCCACTTCCCGGGTGGGGGGTAGAGCGGGTGGAGGGTGCGCTGCTGCCCCCTGGCCCTGTGTCGGCACACTTGCTTTCCACTACCCTCCCCCTGAATATAACCCATGTACACCCGTCCCCGTTCCTCCTTGACTCCTCCCTCTTTTGCTTCAAGTCCTGCAGGAGCTTCTTGTGCTGTTCCCTCTGCATTACCGTGTGATCTGGGTGAATGAATACATCCCGAAATGCCTCATTAAGATACCGTATGTAGATGGAAAAGCTCAGGCATGGTCACGGTGCATTATTAGGTAAGATAAGCATTTTGAAATACTAAATAAGTGTAAAAAACAATGTACAAAGAAGTCTCGGTGTAACTTTATCTGCCTTCCTAACACTCACTATAACTTTTACAATTGCAGGTTCATCAGTGGGTGTAGAGTATGCAGTGATGAAAGCTGTGAAGATGCCATGGGCATAGCGAGTGAGAGGTGCATTCGTCCGCAATATGCCTGAGGGCTCCTCCAGCAGGAAAATACCCGTAGCATTGACTTCCTCATCAGGTAAGAGCTCCACTGTATCCTCAATGTGCGAGAAACTGATGTTGTGAAGCCCATACCTAAAAAAACAACCCGGAGAATGTCTAAGTTATTATTGTTTATTTTCAAGTTTACCTGCCACATAGCTGTAACCAATGAGTGGCTATCATATTACACAGTATACAGTATCATGTAGCTGATTATATATGAACCCATGCAATTGCTACTGTTTGATCCAGGAATCAGAAAATGACTTAATTTGCAATATGGAATAACAGCTGTACTGGGGAAGACACAAAAGTCTAGTAAGAAAGAGAACCTGATAGGGAGGGCAGTGGGGTCCTTGTCTTCTGCTTGGAGACTCACTACCTCTGTTTGCAGTGCTGCATCAACTCTCACACCTGATGTCTCCACTGCCTTTGCAAACATGGGCTTGTTATCATCCAGATCGTTCACCAGTATGTGCACCTTTTGAATACACATGTTACCTTATTAGCAAACTGTGCCAGAAAAACATAGCCATGTGTATGTACAGCATAATTATTACATGAAGAGCAACAGCAAAATATATATATTCCATACAAAATGCCCTAGAAAAAAGTATTGTTTTCAGTATATTGTACAGTACAGTATATAGGATATAATAGTGTCTGGCAAAGAAGGAAAATTTTGTGACCAATAAGGCAAATATTTAGGGTCTGTCATTTGGAGTGTAAAACCATTACTACCTGAAGATTATGTTCCTTCAATAATTCACAATCTTCAATTTCTTGTAGCCTTTAATAATAATCATAAGTCAATGAAAAGATAGAAAATGAGAAACATATAATGAAGACATCATAATGAATAAGTAAGAAGTACAGAAATATATAAACTGACCAACCCTGAATTCTATCATTCGATTACAGTATTTATCTTTTTATTTATCTTTTATAAATAAACACTGTACTTTGAACAGCTTATGGCCATACTGTTAGTCATTACAAGGACTAAGTTTCAGACTATGAAAGATGTCCCTAGTCACACTTAGTGATTCTCTCTCACTCTTAAAGGACCATTCCTTCTACAGTGGGGAATCAAGAACAACATACAATACCCTTCTCTCCTTATATAGTATTGCCAGTCATTTTCTCTAGCTTCCTTAAAAGCCTTACCAAATGTGTTCTGTTGAAAAGATCCTTAAATATCATGAACTTTCTATTAAATATTTTTAAATTCCTAAATCTGAATGTAAAAGGTTTAAATCTACCTGAAGCCCTCACTTTGAAAAATAAATTTGAGAACACACCTGCATCATGGCTGGGTTGGCCTGGTCATAGGTCTTCCTGCTGGACATCCTGCGACCAAGTTTGCCACACAATAGCGTCAGAGTCACTGAATCAACCTGAAAATAAATTCCTATAATACAATACTGTACTGTATTCTGACACACAAAATACTAACATGGTGATTCATGAAACTCGGGCTGTTTGGCCTAAGTCCTTATTCTTAATGAGTCATACATTAAAATTTATCCTCAGCTTGGGATAGTTAATTAACAGTTATGGTAGAATATTACTTAAATTTTAGGTTATTTTAGCTTCTAAATTAATGATGTAACATGTATGTCATTTAGATGCACTCCCAAAATTCTCATACAGTATCATGGAAGCCACACATCCTCAACAATGCTAAAGCAGCCTCCCGAAAGCTGGGAATGCTGTACAGAAGCCGTAGCTACTTCACCCCTGAGCAGTTGCTTCAAGTACAGTGGTCCCTCGGTTAACGAGCGCCTCAGTTAACGAGATTTCGGTTAACGATTTACCTTCCATAAGATTCTTAACTTCGGTTAACGAGCAATCCCTCGATTAACGAGTTTTTTACGAGCCGACTTCAACATGTTTTCGCTTGCATTTGGCGGTCCACCAGCTGTAGTATTAGTCCGCCAATACAGTAATCGGTTTTAGGGCTTAAATTCCTTACTATTTTAGTAAATATCAAGAAGTTTATACTATTCAATAATTTTAAAAGTTTAATATTAACTTTTTTAGTCATTTTAACAATTATTGAACATAATTGAAGGTAAAGAAACTAGTTTCTGGCGTGCCATCCAGCCTGTTAACACACCAGACAGGCGTTAGTCTCTCTCTGTTTTCAGTGGAGGTAACATCTTGCTTGAGACTCTCTTCAACTAAACGCTTTTTTCTGTGTTTCCAAGCAAATTATTGGTCATTTTGAAATTTATTTTACATATTGACAATATGTAATGCAGTGCAGTGTTGATTTAAAGAAAATAATCTTGAATTACACCAAGAGAACTAAAATTTTATGGGTGAAATGGAGCCATGGGGTGACTTCTCTTCCACCCCAATGCCTTCTCTTCTCCTTCTCCTCCACCCCCATTCTAATTCCCATCATCATCATCATCATCATCATCATCATCATCATCATCATCATCATCCAGGAGCCTTCTACATACACACCTCAAAGTAAGTGTACTTTTCTACCTTTTTTGTTGAATTTAGGCAATTTTCGGTGAGCTGGAACCAATTACCCAAAAACCCATTGAAACAATGGTTTCGGTTAACGAGCAACCTGCTGGAACGGATTGTGCTCATTAACCGAGGGACCACTGTATATAAGGGATTCATTTGTCCTAACTTGGATTACTGCGGTGGCTTTTCTTCTGTCGAATTGTAAGATAGGGTGGAATCAAAGGCATTTCGTCTTATTAACTCTCCTCCTTTAGTTGATAATCTTTCTTCCCTTTCTTTTTGCCGCAAGGTTGCTCCACACTCTCTCTCTTTTACAGGTACTTTAACGGGCAATGTTCGGTGGATTTGGCATCCTGTGTACCGCCAGCAACGCCATGGGCTTGTAACACACATCTTGCCTGAGGTGCCTACCGTTTCTCTGTGGATGTCGGTCACACTAGAATAACCCGTTATAGTACCTCCTTCTTTCCTCACACAGCCAAACTGTGGAATGCTCTGCCTTCTTCTGTTTCCATACTCATACAATGCTCTGCCTCACTTCAAAAAGCTGGTTTTCTGGCATCTTTGTAGTACGTATAGATTAATATAATATTTTTCTTTTCTTTTTTTAACTTCTTTTTACTCTTATTTTTTCGCCCGGATAGTACGCACCATTGTGGAGGTTAGACCAAGCACAGCGGCTATGTCCACAGCACGTTCCCCTTTCTCAAATCGGGTTAGTACATCCATTTTCGTAGCAAGGGTAATGGTCTTACATTGCCTCTTCACTACACTAGCATCAGTAGCACTTGATGGGCACTTGGAAGCCCTTTCGAATGGTTAGAGTACAGTTTTAGAGCAAAAGTACTTAAGCACACACGAATGATGTGAATTCGTAACAGAGACTGGCTTGGCATCTCTTGGGGATGCTGTGACGTTCTGTGAGTGAGGGCAGCGCCGAGCCGAGGGAGAGTAACAAGGACAGACAAGAGTGGGTGATGCGCCGTAGAAAGTAGTCAGTGACGACGCAAAACGACGTAGTATCGGATCACCGGGACGTTACACAAATTTTTGGTCTCTAAAGTTCAGCGACGTAGTACCAAAACAACGTTAAGCGAGGACTTACTGTGCAGTACAATTGTATTAAGTGATTATAAATACACGAATATCAATACACGAAAGAAGAGCTTATAAGCTCTTCTTTCATTTGTGGTGGTGGTGGTGGTGGTGTGTGGATTAGTGGATCCCATGTTATTGACCTGACCTGATGTTTTGTAAGGTCACCCTGTGAATATAAGCCTCTCTCAGTCCCTGTAAATTCAGTTGCCTCTGAAGATGTCTTAAATAAAGACGAAAGCTAAGGTGATATATATATATATATGAGGTGTGAACCTCCCAGCAGAGTGATACTTACCGCCTCTCTGTCGATGCGCCCCTTGACAAAGATCATTCCACGGTTGTCGAATGTCCTGTTCACCTCAAACAGACCATCATTGTTGCCATCTGTGTAACATCAGTAACGCCTTATCGTAATATTCACTTTAATGTCTGGTAAGATTTCAATTTGGCTATTTTATTTACCAAATACCTTCCTAAAATCAAACAATTTTGCCTTGAAATTATTTTATTTTTCCATATTCTTAAAATGAAATATATCATGTTTAGACATTTATACTGAAATAATTTAAGACTTAATTTTATGGCTCCAGAAACAAAGCCTGGCACCTGTGCTGTACGAACTTTCATTTATACAAACTATATTTTGGTTAGCAATTAAAAAGCAAAAACTTATATCTAAACCCTTAAATTCCAATTTCTTTATACAGTATATGCATGCCTATCTGCCTCCCTCCCTATCTCTTCTGACTCACAAGTGATGCGGTAATCGATGAGGGAATTGTCGCCACTGTCATTGTCTACAGCCGACACGTAGCCCACCACAGTGCCAATCGCTGCCTCCTCCTCCACCTCCAGCTCCAGTGGCTTGTCTCCCTGCATGGGTAAAAAAGTCTTAGTGAACACTCATTGAGTGAAGCAGGATGGGAGTTGACAGAACTGTACATGGGCAGTTGTAGCAAATGATATCTATCCATATACTGTATATGTAGGTTACAGCAACACCACCATTAAAATGATGCCACCACATGAGTACAGTAAAGCCTCTAATAATGACGATATTGTGTCCTCCAATATTGCAGTGTAAGTTGAATCATCGTATCGTGAATCATTAATTACCATTAAAATAAAGCAATAATAATGAGATGCATCCCCAAGTGTGACCTTTTCATAATCTTTGTGTGGCTTTTTACCCTCTTTTCCCCCCTAACAATAAAATTAATGAAAAATGCAAACTATTTTCTTTAAATAATGTTTATGAATACACCTTATAAATATAAATGAATAATGATAAGATCACACAAGAGGAGATGGGATGCTATTGTTGTCAGTGTTTACACCCATAATGTCAGTTATCCATCTGAAACTGCAGAAAATAAGACCCTGGTTGTTGCTGTAGTAAAATTAATGTAAAAAAACATTTAGGTTTTAATTAATGTTAAATATATAATGCACAGTAAAAGTAGCCATTGATGTTAAAGAAAAAAGAAGAAGGTGATAGTGGAATGGCAATGTATACTTGCGCCCTCAAGGAAACCGCGTCATTTATTTTATTAAGAATATGTACAAAAGATTCATTATTGTTTATTACTGAATATGTATTTGATTGAATTAATGTTTATATATATATGTGAAATGAACAATGCAATTCATTAAAAAGACGTAGAATATTAAAACACACAAGAGGAGATGAGATGGCATTGTTTTCGTGAGTGTTTACAGCAGTGACGATGTTTCTACATAAGAAACTGAAGAAAATAAGACCCTGGATGTAGCTGTACAGTAGTAAAATTAATGTAAACAAATTAATGTGTATGTTTTAAGTAATGTTATTTAATGTTAATAAATGGAACAATAGAAGTAGCTAACCATTCATGGTAATGAAAAAACGAATAGAATAGGAACACCATAGTATGTAAGTGCTTACATGTGAAAACATCGTCATTTCTCTACATAAGAATATGAAAGCAACACTTACTACTGTTCATATATGTTTTAAATAATACTTACTAATGTAAAACAAAAATTTTACTCACAAATGGTGGTAAAGTCTAAAACACAAGGACAGCCAATGAATATTGTGCTAGTTTTTACTCATATGATGAAGTCATCAGGTTCAACTCTGACTGAAGCTGAAGTTTTCCATAAAGATATCATAGCTGTTGCTGAAACTGTTACTGAACCCAAAGTTGTTGCTAAAACTGCTTATGAGGCTGAATTTGATGGTGTAGCTGAAGTTGATGGTGTAGCTGAAGTTGATGGTTTAGGCCTTCGATAAAGTTGTTTAAAGAGCCTTTCACAGCCACATTCTTTTCTCATTGTACATCTTTATGAGGAGGTCATATGCATTTTTCACGTCCCCGTTAATTTTAATGCTTTGTTCTGTTAATCTATCCACTTCAGAAAATATGTTCATTGCTTGCTCCATATAATATCCACAGACCTCTCACCTTTTTAAATGAACTTTTAACACATCTAGTTTCTCGGCTAAGCTTATACACTTTCTTTTAGCTTTTGAGCCAACACTATCATCACTTGCTCTCTTGCTCATGTTGAATAGGGATGCAAAAAATGCCGTAAGAAACCTGAGAAAGTTTTTTCCTTTTCCTGTTCAGATGCGACTGTTTATACTAGTGATGCTGGCATCACCACTCACAAACCTGGCAGCCTCGGTGTATAATACATATCGGGGTTTAGTTAGTATTTATATGAAAGTGTAATTTTACTTTATTTTTTATAATATTTTTGTCGTAAATACAAAGAAAATAAAGGTGGAAATTGAATTGGATCCTAAATTAACCAGGGTCTTAAATATGAATCGTTGTTAGTAGAACCGTCGTTATCGGAGGCTTTCCTGTACTGTACTGTATTACTATATCTGTCAGAAACAAGAGAATATGTCTCTTACAACAAGCTTTACAGAATAATATATAATTCACCAACCTAAAATGGTCCTGTGAAGACTGTCATTCTAAGCTGTACAATACCGTACAGTATAAAAAAAAAAAAAAAAAATATGCTAATGGGGCTTCAAAGGATAATTTTATTTTTTCCTTTTTAAGATACAAAATGGGACTACCCTGTACTTATAAAAATAAACAAAAGGCATCAAATATGTAGTTGATCACCAAGAAAGCCTAATTTTGACAGGGTCCATTAAGTGTGTACTGTATAAAGAACATAGTAGGTAGGAATTGTAGTTGCAACTGTGCCCACAAGAATTTTAATCATCCTTCAATATCTAGCAAGGTTTGGTCAGGTAGTACTTAGGTAAAAGACCCAAAACACTGGTGCTCACTGGCAGCCTGACAAAGGCAGGAGGGTTGTCATCAGCGTCGGTGATGTTGATAACGAGGAGGCGGGAGGCGAGCTGTGGGGGTCTACCCAAGTCCTGAGCTACCACCACCAGTGTATACTGTGTCCGAGTCTCACGGTCCAGCTCAACCCGTGTTGTAATCATCCCGGTTGTTGGGTCTGTACCAAGAATATAAGTCAATATATGAGATGTATGCACAGTACAAGTACTGATGAATTAACATGAGTCAATTATTATAAACAACAATGGAAATGAACTACTAAATAAATAAATAAAATATTAAAAGAATTAATGAAAAAAACAGATGAATAAGCGAATGAATAAAATAAGAAAGAAATAAAAAAAGAAAAAACATACAGGTAGAGAAATACAGTACTGTACTGTACTATATAAAGACAAATAATTATATAAATAATAGAGAAATAAGCAACTACATTATTACAGCACTGAGGGATAATTCTACTAATGTACAGGTTTTACATACAAATAAAGAATACAGTATATAATACACTAGCTAACTTAACCTAAAATATGACCCGTCTAAAACTCACTAAACTTGTCACCTGGAGAGAAAAAACCCCATATCAACTGAGCCTTTAGTACATCCTTACAATCTATCATTAACAATTTTATGAAGTAATCAAGAAAAAATAAATAAACATACCTGTGCAGTACAGGTAGTTCTGCTATAACGCGATAATTGTGTTCTTGTAAAATATCGTGTTATAGAAAATCGCGTAATAGAAATAACAGGGCTTATGGAGAAAATAGGGTTAGGTGCAGATTACTCGAAATCGAAAAAATTTAGTAGTTAGCCTAACACAAAGGATAGCACAGTCTAAATAAATGTTACATTCATATCTAATAATGAAATAATACAGTAAATTTAACACTTTACCTTGAAAAAATATGAATGTAACTTGATGGGGGAGAAGGGTGATTTTGAGGTTGATAACATCGAGCTTCTCTTCAAGTGTTATATCCTTTCTTTTACGATAATCACCGGGAATTCTATCATCAGAACACTTTTTGGAGATATTCTTCTTTACCATATTCACAGTTAATACCACAAAATTGGAGAAATAGTAAGCAAAAATCGCGTTATAGCAAACAAGCGTTCTCGTTATACAAATATTGTTCTGAATTCATAAATCGCGTTAGAGCAAATTCGCGTTATCAAAACACGCGTTATAGCAGAACTCACTGAACTTGTTAATGCCTAGTAAGTACAGTACTGTACATAAAAAATCAAGATAAGAAGCTGCGTCAATACATATAAAAAGGACAATACCATTTGAGTTTTCTTATTGTTCAAGAGAAACAACTTTTATTAACCCAGCTGCAGTCATCAAGCAACACATTTCTACTTAAAACATTGAGGAATCTTTACCTCAAATCTGCAGTTCATAGCGGGACAAAGTAAAATGTAGGAAAGTAATATTTATATCTAAAAACATACCAATAATGGTGGGTTATTGGAAATTGAAACCAGTTCACTGATTCTCATATCTGTTGTGAAAGCTAGACGTCGCATTCTGGATTGAACAAAAATTAAGTAATTTTTTTTTTTATACATCTCACTAAATCCAAACAAACTAACACTAAGCCTAATCTAATCTTGACACTGAAAGATATGTACAGTATACAGCATAAAGAAATTCAATTTCACTTATGACAGAAAACTTACCTAAAACTCTGTACTGTACATAGTTTAGGGTTTATAGTTTGCCTAATACAGTTAACCCTCACTTTACGCGGTTAATGTAACCCGGAGGGTACCGCGGAAAGCGAGAAACGCGTAAAGTGAATAACATAACATATGGGATTAATTGAAATGGAGTCCAGGCCGATCCCCAAACTCCACTTTTTGACGACACATAACTATGTTGTAGTAAAAATAACATCTTAATTTTATGATGGTACATGCACACAATTAATACTTAAGAGAAATAGAGAAATACAGTCGCCAAGTTAATGTCCATTCAAATAATGGACACGACTCCCTCCCCCTCTCACATTACACTGCCGGCTCTTCCCTCTCTGAGAAATTTTGGGGGGAAAACCAGGTATAGTAATAAATAATACCTCAAACTAAAGTTAGGATAATATAATTGACATTGCTGGATTCCTTGTAAGACCAGGAATATTTTGAATATAAATGTCATATATTTTTCACAAAAGATAACATACTTACTCAGATTAAACATTTTATCTAAAAATTTTATGTCTAATGCAAAATATATGATGTTTATATTCAAAATGATCACCAAATTTTAAGAATTCCAGCAATGTAAATTATATTCTGGCCGGGTAATTTGTATGAATTTTATGAGCTAAATTAAAAAAATTATACTTCACCGTGTAAAGGGGTACACCCACCGCGGAATGTGAGCATCCTGAGTTCTGGCAGGGCACCGCGTAAACGTGGAAACGTGGAATGTGGGACCGCGTAAAGTGAGGGTTGACTGTAATCTACTTAGTATAAATATTCTTTAGTCAAATACTTTAAACATCTTAACAAGGGCAGGTTGTACTAACCAATCTCAAAGACACCATCGTCGCTGCCATCGTCGAGAAATGAGTAAACAATCTTGCCATTGGGTGTGTTTGGGTCATCCGGGTCCTCTGCCTCTACCTGGAATACTGCCGTCCCCACCTTCGAGTTCTGGAAGTGATAGAGTCCCTCATAGTAAAACTTATTGCTCAAAAGACCTTGCTAAACAATTCCTGACATATACAATACAGTACTTTTTCAACTGTGACACAAACCAATTCATTTTACTGTAATCATGTAAGAAAATACAGAAAAAAATGGTAATGATTCAAAATGTAGAGTATTTCAACCCCAAAAAATCAACTTTTATTAAATTCATATACTGTACTGTATTGTTCACTACACTTAATCTTACCATACATCAGTAGAATCAATGTAATGTAATTGATAATGTAATGTAGATGAAATTTTTTCAAGTTTGCTTACATACCTCCAACACACTTGCTCCCTCATTAGGAGCAGGACGCAAGAATGTAGGGACGCCGTCATTGGTTGAAACATCACCAATGAAGAGCCTGATGGTGGCCTCCGAGTACTGCTGGGGTGAGCCCCGGTCCAGTGCCCGCACTGTAAGTTCATAGTGCTCAGTGCGGCCTTTACCACTGAGGGGTGCACGCACTGACACCACACCACTCTCAGGGTCCAGGGAGAACAGCCCTTTGTGGGAAAACAATATCATCATAGTTAAGAAAAGGTTATTTTAATTTATTGATACAGAATAGCCATTACACAAGAGTATTATCGTATAGTGCCTATGTGTGACAATGAACATAAAGAATAAAATAAAAAATCTAGTGAGAATATCAAAGACCTCCCCTTAAGATGTATCTATGTATTATAATAATCGTTATAAACTCACCATGAAAAGTTATTATCAAAAGCAAGTGGTGGAAAATGACTCAAACCACCAGGACTAGTGACTCACCATCAACTTCGCCCTGAGGTTCAGGCAGCTGGTATTGGACAAGACCATTGATGCCAAGATCTGGATCAGTGGCCAGGACAGTGGTCACGGGGCTGCCCACTGCTGTGTTCTCCGCCACCACCGCTGTGTATGATGACTCGCTCCACTGCGGTGACTCATCGTTCACATCTGTCAACTCAATTTCTACCTGTAAGTGATGAATTATTGGTTAGACCCTTGTACAGGAGAAAGGGGATAGTATCCTGTAGAGTCAGTATATTTATCAAGAACAAAGGCAGAAGTCGGGATACTTTAACAAGTGAGTTGATAAACACTTACTGGATACCATGCAAATAGTGTTACTTTATCAATAATAATATTAGTGCTAAGAAAAATAAGTGTGGTACAGTACTGACAATAACTGTGGTCTTGCGCTGGTTGATGCCGCCCCTGGGTGTGTCATGGGCAGTCACCTCCAGGGTGATGGTGGGTGTTGTCTCCCGGTCCAGCTGAGCCCCACGAGCCACAACAATCTGTCCACAAAACACAAGAGTTATAATGAACATCAACATAATATGGTGTATCAACTACAGTATAAAGAAAAATCAAGAAAAATTTCACTGATTTCCCACATAATATTACTGTTATAACTAAACACAACACAAGAAACATATCATTGGTTTCTTATATGAATGATTATCTAGGGTAAACAAATGTATAGTTCAACATGAAATATCTATAGAATAAGGCAAAATATCTGTCCTTTTAACATAAATCATAAATCATGGATACCAAGTGTGTGAGACAAACCTCTCCTGTGGTATCGTTGATAACAAAGAGAAGCGCCCCCTCCCCGCCCAGGGTGTAGGTCACTTCACCATGCTCTTCTGTGTCTGCATCTGTCGCCTCTACAGTTAGCACTGACTTCGGGAACCGGGCGTCCTCAGACAGCCGTGCATGGTACTCCTGGAGTGAGTACAGTGTCAGTGTTTTGTTGCTTTTCAGATAGTATTTACAGTATTTCTTCTAAAGTATTGTAACCTATTTTTATCAGTTAAAAGTCTACTTTATTATATTCTTATTGTTGTGAGGTTTGATACACATGTCTAATTCCATTTTAATCCTAATATTGTAATAAATGACCGATACAGTATAGTACTGCACAGTATATATATATATATATATATATATATATATATATATATATATATATATATATATATATATATATATATATATATATATATATATATATATATATATATATATATATATATATAGAGAGAGAGAGAGAGAGAGAGAGAGAGAGAGAGAGAGAGAGAGAGAGAGAGAGAGAGAGAGAGAGAGAGCTATAAAATTACTCTCTCTAGAACATATGTGTAATACAACACACATAATCTTAAGTCCTCTCTTGGTATGAAATAGTTTCTCACATTTTCTGTGAATATGGGACTGTTGTCATTTACATCCTCGATGTTGACGATGACAGTGGCCTGGCTGGAGCGATCTCCGGCAACGGCCAGTACCTGCAGTGATGTTGTCTGAAGAAAAAATTGTGCTGTAGTCGTATTTATTCTAAATAACTTTTGTTGACAGCTATGATGAAATTTAAAATTGTATTATACTGTGAATTCACTAACTGATGACACAGTAAGAGAACTGTGGTTATTGTGAAAGCAGAGACCAGTGTTAATAGACAAATTTCATTTTTAATCGTACTGACACTTTGAAATCTATAATAAAATCACATTTTAAGATTTTTTTTTTTTTTTTTTTTTTTATACAGTATATATAGAAATATGACAGTTACTATAAACTCCTGAGAATTAGAACACCCATAAAATTTAATATCATTTTGGTCATCACTTGATGAGCCTTGTGGAGTTAAGCAAAGAATGAGGCACTTACTTTTGTCTCAGAGGCTTCATAGTCCAGGCGAGAGTTAAGGGAGACTTGACCAGTGATGGGTGCCACAGTAAACATCTGGTCAGGGTCAGACCCAGCCACCTTTTCATAGCGTCGCACGGGCTGACCTGATGACATCAAACAACCCTACACTAGATTCAAATACAAAACTTTTGTCTGATGTCAAATAAAATACAGTAATACATCCTGGATTCATATAAATATCTTCATATACTGTAGTAAAGTGCTGAGGATACCAATACATTGATGAATTATAACAGTGGAAATAATGTCTACACACTAACAAATAATATTGTTATTTCTTGTGTGTAGGTACTGTAAGCTGCTGATGACCACCACTTACACCTGCCTTCATAATTAATAAGAAGCTGACAGTTCTATTCACTTACCTTGAATTTATACTTGGTTTAACACACAGTGGCACAACTCTTAGTTCAATGAGTGATGAATTAAAGACTGACGCTTGAAATGTGTAACATTGAGTATACAGATGCAATAGTTGTGATCTGACACTGGAGTAATGATCAGCTAAACATACTTTTATGGATGTAATGCTGAGGCAAACCTGTGACGGGATCTTTGGCGGTAACAGAAAAGACACCGGTGCCAGGGTCCTGCTCCTCCTTGACAGTCACTTCCAGCTGGGGACGTGCTGGCGTCCAGGGGGGTGCAAAGATCGGATTCTGGTCACTGAATGCCTGCACGTAGATGGTCACCTCAGCTGATGGGGAAAGATGAATACATTATACCAATGGACCATTTCAACTTGTTATGAGTGTGAGAAACTGTACAATGATAAACAGACAAAGAAAGAAAGAGGTGATGACAGTGCCATGCTTATTTTTGCTCTCCCACTGAGGACTCCCACTACCCCATTGTTGATCGAATTACATTGGCTATTAAACTTAGGATAGTGTTCAAACTCTGTCATGTGACTTCAGGCACTAATGTTTGATGAACCTATAGTATCTGGCCAACCTACTAATTCTTCTGACTACACATTCTGAAATGACTGTGCATAGTAGTGGTCATACTTCATCCCTTGAGGAGCTTGGAGCAGCACAGGAACATTCTTTTACTGCCTTATCTTTTTCTATACAACACCCAGATTGTATAATTGGTTGCCTGCATCCATGAAACAGTTGACTTTTATGGAGGCCTTTAAGAAACAACTTAAGACTTTTTTTAAGCTTATGATCTTGAACAGGATACAGTGATGGGGAATTGCAGGGTTTAAAAAGTATTAAAACTCAAGTCTTTGACTTTGTAGTGTTTTGAGTGCTAGTGAATTCTTAACCCTAGATCGGAAACCCTGACCCAGTTTGTGAACCTGATTTAAAATTGGTGCACTAATTTCCCACCCTATCCAAACTTGGAAAGTGTGGGTTTGTCATATTGTCCTGCCTCAGTGCGACATCAGTCGTCATCGGGGAAGGACACTCTCACTTCACTCTGTCCAGCCCTCACCTCCTGGTGACTAGCTCTGGTGCCAAAAGACCAGGGTACTCAACACATGATTGTTTGATGTTTTTTTTATTTGTTCACTCTAATGTGGATATTATGAGCTTGTGTACAAAATTTACAGAACAGCAGAAACTATGAGAATAATAATTAAATACTGTATATTATGAGACATGATTTGGTGCCTTCTAACTGTTGCTAATGTTTTTTTTTCATTTTCAGATTGATGTGCGGCCTGCTACGTTACAATGGTGAGGAATCAGCTTGTTAGTTGCTGGGGGGGGGGAGGATTAGTCATGTCTCTGCTATGCACTGTTAGCAAGTACTGGGCAATTTTCAGTGTTAACTCTCTTATTACATAAATAAAACAATGAGATCTTACTTCAAGAAAGGCTAATGCCCTGCAACAGTTGCTAGGAAGGGAGGAGAATGGAAATGAGTTACCTGGGTTGTGGGTAAAATGGGTTCCAATCTTGATATGTTGCAGTTTTCAAACCCCTAACCTAACCATACCATAAGAAATGGGCCCACTAAGACTGAGTACAGTATGTTAGATTAAGGTTTATTAGGATAAGAGCCCATTTGGCCATAGATCTATTACCTGTGTCAGTCTGGTTAGGGAAGGCTGCTGAGGCATTGTTGTCAGACACGGTAAGGGTGAGGATGATGACAGCAGCAGCATTGTGGTCCAGACTCCCAGACACTTCTACTTCACCTGTTGTCTCATTCACCCTGTAACACACAGTCTTGGTCTTACTTGGTTCATCATCACCCAAGTTTCTAATTCTAAAAATTTTTCCTTCACCATAAGTACAGTGGGGGATGTAAGTTATCTATTCACAGTGATGCCATTCGGCCTAACAATTGCGCCAAAAGTGTTTACAAAACTGGCGAACATCCCCAGGGAGATCCTTGCGAAGGAGGGCATAAGAAATTTCGCTTATCTAGACGATTGGCTGATAGTGGGAAACTCTTTCAAAGACTGTCAAAGGGCGACCCAACGTACACTAGTACTATTTAAAAAACTAGGATTAAAGATAAACCAGGTCAAATCAAATTTCCTACCATGTAAGAAATTGGATTGGTTAGGTCTCCATTGGGAAACTAATCAGCAGTCAGTTAGTCTACCTGAAGCAAAGGTAACAGATGTGATAAACCAAGTAGAAGCCTTTTGTGCAAAGACAGAGGTTTCTTGGCACGATTAGGAAAAACTACTGGGTCTGTTGAATTTTGCCATCATAGTAGTTCCTTTGGGCAAGTTAAGGAAGAAGCAACTAACTCATCTGGGGTCGAAGTTGCTTCACAGAAACAGAAATATTGCTTCTTCTCTCCCTCTTCAGATCAAGAATCATCTGTCATGGCGGACAAATTTGGACAATCTAATCGGTTAATCTCCCTGTGTTCCCCCTCAAACAGACTTGGTCGTTTGTACGGACGCGTCCGAGATAGGATGGGGATACCATTCCTCAAAAGGAGACTTCCGTCAAGGGAAGTGGAGCAACTCCCTTTGGGACAAACACATAAACATAAAAGAATTAACAGTAGTCCTATTCTTTTAGTTGGCAAACACAAATTTAAAAAACATGATGATTCTGTTTGCCATGGATAACAGAGCGGCAGTGTTTTGTCCCAATCATCAAGGCTCAACCAGATCTTGGTCCCTTCTCACACTGTTAGGAAAAAAAATAAAATAAAAGTTTGTGTAACACAAACACTTTACCTCAAAGCAACTCATATATCGGATGTACAAAACAATTGGGCAGATGCGTTGTCCCGTCTCAGGCCAGTATCGATGAAAACAAAATGGTCCCTAAAGATATTGAAGTTCAAGAGTTTAGTGAGGAAAAATGGGACTCCACAAATAGATCTCTTTGCTCTCACAAAACAATTACAAGCTGCCAATTTATTCATCTCTGGAACGATCGAATCTTTTAGGAAATGCTCTACTCATAGATTGGAACTGTTGGAATTCAATCTATCTGTTCCCATCTGTGAAAATGTTGCCCAAAGTGGTTCACAAACTCAGATCCTACAACCGTGAAATCTCAATCTGTTGGAATGGTGCCCGCATTGACTACAATTGCAACAAGGATGTCTAGACCAGGTACTGCACCCTCAGTTTGAGACACCCTTGGCACTTCACACTTGGAGTTTCTCAAAAGATGTTTAAATAGATTGTTGGGTAATTCCAATATAGTTAACCGAGTGATAGCAGGTCATAGACCCCAAACTTCTATGCAATATGAGAAAGCTTGGAAACTTTTTCACCAATCACATTGTCGGAAACAGTGGTGTTAGAATTTTTAGATTTACTGTTCAGAGTTAAAGGCCCTCAAGGATTGACAATTGCATCTTATAAATCAACATTGGTTGACCCTCTAGCGTGGGGTATTAATATTACTTTGAACCCCAGAATTTATCTAATGCTTAGATCGTCCTTTTTCATTCAGAGACCCCCTCGGCCTAAGAGAATCCCACCTTGGTCTCTATATAAAGTTACTAAATTTATTATGGGGCCTAATTACAATATAAATCTGAACCGGGACAGATTGCTCCAGAAGGCAGCCTTCCATCTCGCAATAGCAACAGGTATGAGAATCAGTGAACTGATTTCAATTTCCAATAATCCATCATTATTGGTATTTTCTGAGGAAGGTGTCACTCTTTTTTCTACGGAGATTCTAAGAAAAATGAAAGGGAGGATTATGAAGCTCAACCTATCAGGTTAAAACAGCTAATGAATGAGACAAGGGTTCCTCATATATTGTGCCCAGTCAAGAATCTTCAAGAATGGTTAACCAGGTTCCCTAGTCAAAGCCCCAATGTATTCTCATCACAGGATGGTAAGAAATTGTCTCCTAGTCAAATGACGAAATATTTATCTCAGTTAGTGAGTCAAGCAGACCCTGGCAAGAAATTTTTGGCACATGACGCCAGGAAATATGCAGGGTCTTTGGCCTTTCTGCAGCATATGAGCCTCAGTCAGATCAAAGAAGTGGGCTTTTGGAAATCTTCAAAACCTTTCAAAACAGCTATCGTCATCTATCTCTGAAAGATGTTTATAATTATAATCTGGACCGAAGCTAGCAGAGCCTTATACGCAGTGTCACCTCCCGCTCAGGTAATCAAAGCTAGACGTCGCATTCTGGATTGAAAAAAGTATTTTTTTTTCAAAAAAACAGCGACGTCGACATCCCACCCATCTCGACCCCTCGAGAGTAGACATTTGTTTACTGCTCGCCCTAGGGCAAGAGATGATGGTAGCAATGCGTGTGATGGAGGGTGCGGGAGGGGGTTTTGAGAATTGCAAATAAATGCCAGGTAGCGACGTGTCCTCCTAATATTACGTATTTATGTATTTATTAGATGTTTAAATTTCCTGTATGTTGGCCTGGCAAGTTAATGCTAGGCATTTACATATGTAGGTATAAAGCTAGACGTCGCATTCTTTACTTTATCACAAAAACATTTTTTTCTTCAAAATAAACGACTTTTTCTTATTTTATAGTTTTATAGATATATTTTTTAATTTCTAAGTCACAGTAAAGTATTTTAATATTTACTCTTGTGCTCTGTAATAAAGAAAACGGTTTTACTAAGGTGGACTATAATATTCTTAGTGATATAAGTTATGTGTTTATTTACAGACTTACACTTGAATTATACATAGAGAAATCAATTATTTATTTTTATTTATTCTATATTTTGTATAAGTGACCAAATTACAGTACCTGTAGCATACATAAGTGCCGCACTGTTTATGTAGCGTTTCCCCTCCATCACCTGTGTCACCTACCATGCCTCTGTGTCACCTACCATGCCTCTGTGTCATCTACCATGCCTCTGTGTCACCTACCATGCCTCTGTGTCACCTACCATGCCTCTGTGTCACCTACCATGCCTCTGTGTCACCTACCATGCCTCTGTGTCACCTACCATGCCTCTGTGTCACCTACCATGCCTCTGTGTCACCTACCATGCCCCAGCCCTGTCATCTACCATGCCTCTGTGTCATCTACCATGCCTCTGTGTCACCCATGCCTCAATTATGTCTCTGCCTAGGCCACCCACCATGCCTCTGTGTCACCCCATGCCTCTGTGTCATCTACCATGTCTCTGTGTCACCCACCATGCCTCTGTGTCACCCACCATGTGTGTCATCTACCATGTCTCTGTGTCACCCCATGTCTCTCAGTCATCTACCATGTCTCTGTGTCACCACCATGTCCCAGGTCATCTACCATGCCTCTGTGTCATCTACTATGTCCTGTGTCACCCACCATGCCTCTGTGTCACTTACCATGTCTCCAGGTCATCTACCATGCCTCTGTGTCACCCCATGCCTACACCATGCCTCTGTGTCATCTACCATGCCTCTGTCCTCACCCACCATGCCCTGTGTCATCCACCATGCCTCTGTGTCACCACCATGCCCTGTGTCACCACTCATGCCTCATGTCATCTACCATGCCTCTGTGTCACCTACCATGCCCTCTGTGTCACCCACCATGTCTGCTGTGTGTCATCTACCATGCCTCTGTGTCATCACCATGCCTCAGGTCACCTACCATGCCTCTGTGTCACCACCATGCACTCCATGTCTCTGTCACCCATGCCTCTGTGTCATCTACCATGCCTCTGTGTCACCCACTACCATATCCATGCCTCTGCACACCATGCCTCTGTGTCCACCTACCATGCCTCTGTGTCACCTACCATGCCTCTGTGTCACTTACCATGTCTCTGTGTCATTTACCATGCCTCTGTGTCATTTACCATGTCTCTGTGTCACCTACCATGCCTCTGTGTCACTTACCATGCCTCTGTGTCACTTACCATGTCTCTGTGTCACCTACCATGTCTCTGTGTCACCTACCATGTCTCTGTGTCATCTACCATGCCTCTGTGTCACTTACCACCATGCCTCTGTGTCACCTACCATGCCTCTGTGTCACTTACCATGTCTCTGTGTCATTTACCATGCCTCTGTGTCATTTACCATGTCTCTGTGTCACCTACCATGCCTCTGTGTCACTTACCATGCCTCTGTGTCACTTACCATGTCTCTGTGTCACCTACCATGTCTCTGTGTCACCTACCATGTCTCTGTGTCATCTACCATGCCTCTGTGTCACTTACCATGTCTCTGTGTCACCTACCATGCCTCTCGCCTACTATAGTGCTTCATTCCTTACCTGTAATGGTGATAAGTGTTACTTTTTGACCTTTAGTAATTACATGTACAGTATAGTCTCGTTTTACGCGGTCAATTAAACCCACGGAGGTCCGCGTATAATGCGAAACGCGTAAACGAAATAACAGAACATATGGGATTAATTGAAATAGAGACTGGGCCGACTGCCAGACTATCCTTTTTCCGACACAATACGTACGTTGTAGTAAAAATAACATCTTAAATTTATGATGGTATGCACACACAATTAATATTTAAGAGAAATATCGATAATATTAGGTTTTTTAACACTTACGTTAGTAGAAGAGATGGCTGGGCACACGGGGATGGGGGATTGGTTCCGAGGCAGAGGGCAGATTATTGGCCCTCGCCTGTATCACCTGTATCACCTGTATCACTATCCACCACAGAGGCTAGCAGGGCCTCCTTGTCAAACCCCTCAAAGTCCATATCCTCACTATCACTGACTTGGGCTGGCTGTGGTGGGTGGCGGGTGAAGAACTCGGTAATGTTTTGTTGACTGGGCAAGCAAGGTTAA